GGGGACGGGGGGGGGCCCGGCTGGGTATGCACCGGCCAGCAGAAGCGGTGGTGAGCCGTGTGCCACTTGGGACGGGACAAGCCCAGCTGGAGCAGCAGGGCTCAGCTGCAGTTTCCCCCGTCTGTGCAGGTCAGTCCTGAGCAGCACAGACGGGGGGAAACTGCAGCTGAGCCCTGCCACTCCAGCTGGGCTTGTCCCATCCCGAGCGGCACACGGCTCTACCGCTGTTTCTGCTGGCTGATGCAGACCTGGCCAGGCTCCTCCCATCCCCAGCAGCACGTGAGGAGCCAACTTCAGCTGCATGCCACTTTTCCTGGCCCATCCGGAGCAGCATGTGGCTGAAGCCAGCCTACCAGGTGCTGCTGGGGACAGGGTGAGCCCGACTGGGTCAGCACTGGCCATCAGAAGCAGTGGCAGAGCCTCCTCCTTTTGGGACCAGCTGGCATAGGTAGGGGGAAAGTTCTGGGCGAGATCTGATGCCCCTGCTGGGGCAGGATGTTAGAGTGGTCACAACCCCTTGCTACCTGATAAGTTGTGCAAGGGGAGGGACTTCCGGTGGCAAAGGTCAGGGGGCAGGACTTCCAGTCCCAAGATAGCGACAAGGGGATGGGGCAACTGGAGGGGCTACCCTTGTGGCCCTCGACAGCTCGCCAAAACTCATCAAGCAGCCCTCCACCTGAAATAATTGCCTTCCCCTTCTGTACATGAATGCAAGGAGCCTGGAAAACAAGCAGGAAGAAATGGAAATCCTTGCATAATCAAGAATCTGTGATATTGTTGGAATAACAAAGACTTCCATGACTGGAGTATTGTCATAGATAGGTATAAACTGTTCAGGAGGGACAAGGCAGTAGGGGTGTGCGAAGCGGGCCATTCAAGTGACCGGGACTTCAAGTGATAGAAGTCCCCCATGATCACCCCAACATCTGCTAGGCTGGCAATACAGCAGTGCACAGGCAATCCAGGAAGTTTTTGAAGACTGTTGGGGACAAGGTGGCAAAGGCAAGCAGTCAGGCTGTGGCCCTAGATTTTAGGAGGGCGAACCTTCAACGAGCTAAGGAGGATAGCTGGAGAAGCGCTGAAGTCTCAGAGGGGAGGAGAGCCGGGTGTTCAAGGGGAGTGGTCGCTCCTTAAGGAGACGATTCTCCAAGCCCAAAAGAAGGTAGTCCCGACGAGGATCAAAGGGGGCAGGAGAGCATACAAGCCTCCATGGCTCACCAAAAACATCCAGGAATGTCTCCTTGCTAAATAGGAGGCTTACTCCCAATGGAAAGGAGGGGTCATCACCAAGGAGGACTATTCGGCAGTTGCTCGGGGGTGTAGGGGGGTAGTTAGGAAGGCCAAGGCAGAGATGGAACTGGAACTGGCTTCCCGGATTAAGGACAACAAGAAGTCCTTTTTTAAATACATAGGGGGTAAAAAGAAGGCCCCGGGTAATGTGGGGCCCTTGCAGGATGCGACGGGAAATCTGGTTGTCACACCAGATGACAAAGCCAACATATTTAATTATTTCTTTGCCTCTGTCTTCCTCAGTAAGGGCCAGAACTGCCACCTCCCTGCTAGGCCCCCATTGGGCCCCGAGGGAGGCACACCCGAGCCCAGGGTAAGTGAAGATCTAGTTAGGGAGCTGCTGGAGGGGCTGGACATTTTTAAGTCAGCCGGTCCGGATGATCTCCACCCTAGAGTTCTAAAGGAACTGGCTGGGGTCATTGCGAGTCCCCTGGCGCAGCTTTATGAGCACTCGTGGTGCTCTGGAGATGTGCCGGAGGACTGGAAGAGGGCCAACGTGGTTCCCATCTTCAAAAAGGGGAGGAAGGAGGACCCGGGAAACTATAGGCCAGTCAGTCTTACCTCGATCCTGGGCAAGCTGTTCAAGAAAATTATTCTGGCACACATCCAGGAGGGGCCAGCAGGGAAATGCATGCTCAGGGGCAACCAGCACGGGTTCATCAGCGGATCTGACATGTGGACCATATTTTGCCCACCCCTGATTTAGGGTATGTTAAAATCACTTAAGTATTGTTCTTATGAACTGTATTTGTATGGCAGTGTTATACAAATATAGCAAGAGACCTTGTCTGTCATCCTTTTCAACACTACTACTATAATTTTGCTTAAGTCAAAATCCACCATTATTTAAACATGGGCAAACAGCAAAGCTTTAATAACAAAGCCCAAACTTGGGCTTTTGCTTTCCACAGGAATAAAATGAAGCATAAATCCAGCCACTTTTAGAAAGTTTTTCAGCTGAAATTTTTGACCTAACCTCCCCTTTCACTTTAAATTCCAAATATCCTGATTGAAGCAGGCAACAGAAGTCCTCTTAGGACAAATGTGCTGGACCCCATGACTGAGAAGGGAAGGTGAGGAGAGGCTCGGACTGCATTAATGTAATATCTGGAGCCTTGTAATGTGGAACAATTACCAGCTGAGCCAGCAAACAGGGGCAGAAAACAAGGCAAGCAGTTTTCTGGAAGCAAGAGGAGGAAGGGGAAGGGGAATTGAAGCCAAGCACCAGACACCAGATCCACCCACTGACCTGACCTGTTGTCTCAGGAAGTCTGCTGCATACCCAGAGCCCAGATCCAACATATCACATAGGGATTACCAAGACTCATCCAGTAGCACCAATGATACTGCCAAGGGAGACCTGAGCAGATCAAAAGTGACTACAGAGCTCTGGTTGCAAGGGTGAAGGGGACTGGGGCACAGGTCATGCTCTCTTTGATTCACCCAGTCAAGGGAAACGGCCCAGGCAGGAGCAGGTGCATCCTGCAGATCAATGCCTGGCTGTGCAGGTGGTGTCTTCAGCACGGCTTTGGATTCTTTGACCATGGGATAATGTTCCAAGAAGAAGGATTGGTGGGAAGAGATGGGATCCACCTGATGAAGAGACAGAAGGCATCTTTGCAGACAGGCTCGCTAACCTAGTGAGGAGGGTGTTAAAGTAGGTTTGCTAGGGGATGGAGACCAAAGCCCTGAGGTAAGTGGCGAAGTGGGTGAGCTAAAGGAAGAGCAAGCAGGAGGAGGCAACAGCGGAGGTGCTCTCATACTTCCTGAGAAATCAGGTCAATCAACTAGTTATCTAGTACATGAATACATGGAGCCCAGGAAACAGGCAGGAAGAATTAGAAGTCCTCACACAGTCACGGAGCTATGAAATGACTGAAATAACAGAGACTTGAAAGGAGCTCGCTTGCATGACTGGAGCACTGTCATGGAGGTACAACCTGTTCAGGCAGGACAGGCAGGGGAGAAGAGGAGGAGTTCCACTTTATATGAAGGATTCATATGATTGTTCAGCGCTCCAGTGTGAAACTGGAGTAGGCCTACCGAAAGTCTCTGGGTTGGGTC